GCTGGTGATGGAGAGCAACACCTTACACAGAAGCCGGAGCCTGGCCTGGCTGCAGGCAGGGACTCTGGGAGATTTGGGGAAACTGGAACTGGTTATGGGGATTGCTTGGGGATGAGTTAGTAAGAATGGGCACATGCTTAAGACAGCTGTGGAGGCCTGTGGTGTGTAGCTGGAGTCAGGGTACCTGGTGTGCAGCCAGAGAGAATGTTAGCTCTGCCATTTGGGGTCACCTGGACTGAATATGAAGACCTGTGTCTCTGGTCCTTAGAAGGAAATCAAGGAAGAATTCCATTGTGGGAGGATCAGGGGATAAAATCTTAAACTCCTGAATTCTTTTTTTGTTTTGTTTTATTGTTGTTATTTTTTGAGACATGATTTCTCTGTAGCCCTGGCTGTCCTGAAATTCAGTCTGTAGACCAGGCTGGCCTCGAACTCAGAGATCTGCCTGCCTCTGCCGCCTGAGTTCTGGGATAAAAGGTGTGCACCACTAACGCCAGATTCTTACTCAGGACCCAGATCAAGAACTGAGGGCACAGCAAGGCTCTGGGTTCCATCCTCAGCGTCACATGAGCAGAACAAAATAAACTGAGAGCAAATCCCAAGGACTTCTGCCACTTCCCTGAAAGTTCAACAGAATTCTTGCAGCCTCAGGACAGAGTTAAAACTGAAACCCAGACCCAACCTGTAGAACGGTGAATTACATCCTTAGCAGGGGATCACAACTCCTCGGAAGCATCTCGGGATACTCTGAACCAGGATCCCCGCAGAGGTCCTTCACAGCTAGTGAAGGAAGAGATGGGGGATGGATGGATGCATGGATGATAGTGTGTAGATGGATATTGGATGGGTAAATGAGCAGAGAGGTGACAGGTGGATGGATGGATGGATGGCTGGCTGGCTGGATGGATGGATGGATGGATGGAAGGATGAATGGAAGGATGGATGGATGGATGGAGGATGACAGGTAGATGCTAGATGGGTGATCATGTAGATGGTGGGTAGATAAGTGGTAGATAGAGAGGAGGGTAGATGATGGGTAGATGGATTGATAGGTAGGGGATTGTGGATGGATGAATGAACAAATAGATGAGCAGATGGCTGGAGAATGGATGAATGGGTAGAGGATAAGTGAACAGTGGGTGGGTAGATGATGGATAGATAAACGGATGATGGGTGGATTAATGGAGCATGGATGACCTTGTAGATGATGGGTATATGGAAGGGTGATAGATGAGTAGATAATGGAAGGGCAAATGGATGGCTAAATATGTAGGTGGGTAGGTGATGGGTAGATAGAATTGGATATCTGACACCCGAGGCTGGACCTGACATTACCAGGGACCCTGGGAATACAACCCATGAGGTCTTTAGACTACGGTCAAGTTTATATAAAGTTGAACACTGTGAAGACGGCTTTTTCATACCAGTAAAGCTCCAGAGGCCCCAGAGTGGGCTGCCAGTGTGCACACCGAAGATGCAAGGACTGTCATGGGGTCCCACAGGATTTATGAGTGTAGCCGTATTTATCAGTGTCTCTGAATTCAGGATGCTGTCCCCATTGGTGAGGGTGGCTCTGACAGCTGAGCAGAAGTATGGTCCGCATTGACCAGGGTGGACACATAGTGCCTAACAGTCCACAGGGGCACATCTTCTAGAAGGGTTTAAGTTTGTTGCTCAGCAGGCTGACTGAGGACTCAGCTGGCCAGAGACATGCGGCCTCCTCCAGCCTCACATCTCACCTGGTTCTCAAACTCAGAACTTCTTATGGGGAGGAAGTGGTCTGACCCATGAATGTCCCTCAAAGGGACTGTTGCCACTTGTAGGGGGACCAGTTACATCCTATGGGATTGTGGGTGGGAACTGGAACTCAGTGAACCCAGGTGAGCTGAGCAGAACAATGGGTCAGCAGCTATTGTTGCCCCAGTGAGTCTGAACCCTTTTGCTCCATCAGGTTCTCACTTCACCTCACCATGCTGCTGTCAGCCACTGGCTGGAGGCTGAGCAGAGAGAACAAATTCACCACTTACCAGGCCAAACACGCTGGGCAGGCCTTTGCCCTTGGGTCTCTAACCTGTGCAGCAGTTCTGCGAGACTATGCAAAGGGAGGAAATGAGGCTGCAATAGGGACCTGGCATTCAGCGCTTTGTCTTTTCCATTGTGGGTTTCAAGCTCTTCCATTAATAGAACAAGGTGACAAATACAGAGAGTGGGACATGATATGGGTGACACATAGGAGATGAAGAAGTAGGACAGATGGCTCAGGGATGAGGGATAGAATAGATGGATGGAGGGATGGAGTCATGGACGTATGTGTGAGTGGGTGAATAGATGGGTGGGTGGTGGATAGACATGAGAAATGGATGTGGGTGGATGAGCAATAGATGAACATGTGAGTAGTAGGCTGATGGATGAATGGGTAGGAAGATAAATGGATTAGGAATTAATGGACGGATGAATTGGCGGATGTGTAGTTGATAGATGAGCAGTTGGATGAATGGCAGAAACACTGATGGATGGATGGTTGGATGGATGGATGGATGGATGGATGGATGGGTAGATGGATGGATGGATGGATGGATGGAAGGATGAATGATGGATGACTGGATGGGTAGGTGAATGTGTGGATGGATGAATGGATGGATGCATGAGTGGACAGGCAAGTGGGTAGGTATGGGTAGATCTGAATGACAGACTGGCAGGTGGATGGACAGGCAGATGGATAAGTGAGTGCACAAATGGATGTGTATATGAATGAGTGGTGGATAAAAGGAATGATGGGTAAATGGATGTACAGAGGGAATGTGTGAATGGGTGCATGGATGGATGCACAGATGGACGGGCGGATGGATGGGTAGATAAAAGAGAGGAGTAGACAGCCAAATGAGTAAATGTACATATATATATGAATGATGGATTGGTGGGGGGTGGAGGGGTGGGCAGATGAGTGGATGAGCAGATAAGCAAATGTATATATGACTGATGGAGGGGTGATGGAGGGGCCTCTACCTCAGCAGACTTGGAGTGGGATGACGCTGGACACACATAGAAGGTATTGGACATGATCTCAGACTCCATTGGTCTCCCCAACCAGGAAGGCAATGGGCCAAGCAAGGGACTAGTGAGAAAGTGAAACCTCTTGTCAACAGTGGTACTCCAAGTCTATAGTTCTCCAGCCACTGAGCACACAGTGGGTGCACTCACACACAAGAGCTGGCCTTTGGGGCAGACACACTTCCTCCTTCCAAGAACAGACAATGACCTCCCCAGCAGTCTTTTCTGAGTGACAGCGACATACACATCAGATACCTGTGAGATGCTAAGGAGCAGTGACTAGAGTAAGTCCTGTGACTTTTCCTTGAAATGTTACCATGGAGACAAGGGAAGCAGGAAGACAACCCTGAGCTGGCACTCAGGAGGCAGAGGCAAGAAAACCTCTACAAGTTCAAGGCCAGCTTCGTCTACATAGTTGAACTTCAGGCCAGTCAGGGCTATATAGTGAGGTTCTGTCCCAACCCTGCCCCCGCTCCCCAAAAGAGAGAAAATGCCTTCCCCAGTAGAAGAGTTTTGGGGGGAAGAGTTTGGGGGGAATGCCATTTTAGCGTGACAATTTGGAGGTCCACTAGGTCCCTAAAGGTCCACAGATTCAGTGTGTCTACCTGGCAAGAAACACAGGTAAGAAGACTGATCCAGACAGTGTTTCTGGAAAGTTCCTACTATCATTCATGAAGCAGCCCAGCTGTTAGCAGCTGTCAAGATGTCTCATGCCCTGGGGCCAGCAGCTGTCTCAATTCCTATATCCTGCTGAGTCTCCTCCCACTCCCCCCCCCAAAACCAGCACTGGCTCTGGTGTTTGGGAAACTGGATACTGGGACTCCAGAGAAAGGGGTTCTACATCAGAATGTCAGGGTGGACAGGTGATTCTAGAATTTCCCTCAGTTCCACGCACGGCCATGGGCTAGACCCAGGTTGGGACTCAGGATAGACTTAAATCATGTGGTTCTGGAAGCACTGGCAGGAACAGACACTTGTGGTAGGGCTCAAGGGGCGAGTGAACGAACTGAGTCGTAACAGTGGAGCCTCTACTTCAGTCAAATGGCCGCCATGCTCTTACACATACCAAGGGACACGGAGTCCAGCAGTTCAGGGTCATCTCTCCTTCTTCTTTTTTTTTCTTTCTTTTTTTTTTTTTTTTTTTTTTTTTTTGGTTTTTCAGGGTTTCTCTGTAGCTTTGGAGCCTGTCCTGGAACTAGCTCTTGTAGACCAGGCTGGCCTCAAACTCACAGAGATCCACCTGCCTCTGCCTCCTGGTGCTGAGATTAAAGGCGTGCGCCACCACTGCCTGGCCCAGAATATTTCTTTATAAGCTGGCATCCAAGGCTAAATGGGCAGAGAAGACTGTAAGGTTGGAGTGTTGCTCAGTGGGAGTCTGTGTGCCTAGCACATGCTAGGTCCCTCTCCAGTACCAAAAGAATAGGATGAAGAAAACGCACAGGACCCTAGGGCTGAACCTTGGCTGGCACCAATCCCTTCCCTTCCCTTCCCTTCCCTTCCCTATGACGGGCTTAAGGTCACATAGCAGGTTTAGGGCTGAGTCCAGCCCAGAACTTTGCCCTTTTTTTATGAATCCCACAGTTCCTCTAGGGCCTCCTCCAGTTTCCCACGTGTCACCCCTATAATGCAGAGGTCCCACATTCCTGTTCAACAGAAATCAATCTCTCCACAGGAAGAGATCCAGGGGTCCAGGGGTCAGATCATGCTATGGAGCCAGGACCAACTCTCCCTCTCCGAGACAGAGGCTTGCTCCTGGAGCCAGGCCAAAATATGCACGAGTGTAAGAGTGTGTCTGGGCACATGAGGATGCCCGATGGTGCCTAGCCTCCCTGAGTGAGAGGAACACGTAGCAAGCTGCTGGCGCATCCTGCCAACATCGAAAGGTTAATTGTCGCACCCGATGCCAACAGACTGACTTCCGGAGGATTCGTTTGGTTTGGTTTCGTGGCTTTTTTTTTTTACAACTTTAAATATGGAATATAAATAAACTTTACATTTAAAAAATAAAAAGAAAGCCCCCAAAAATATAATCACCAACTTTACAAACTGAAGGAAGCGGACCTGGGAGGGGGAGGGAAAAGTGCAGGGGGAAGTAGGGGGGGGAGTGGGTGTGTCAACCCCAGTCCTCCTGAGGGCGCTATGGCTCTCCCTCTCTCCCACTTCCAGTGTACCAGCTAGCTTCCTGGAAGAAGCCATCAGGTAAAACCACAAAAGATCTGAGGGGCAATGTGCAAGCAGGGAAGAGGGCAGCCAGGGCGGCCCCTCCCTTGGAGATCTCCTAGTATCCCACACCTGCCAGGAAGGGAACAGCTGAAGGAGGCAATGGGCAATGACTGTGTTGCTCTCCCAGCACCCGAGGCTCATCCCGAGCTTTAGACTGGGTCAGCGTGCACACAGCCAGTCCGCATAGGGCGTCAGTGTGAATTAAAACATGGCCTCCTTTCCTCAGAGGCTTGACCTACGTCTGCCAGAAGGTCATAATAGATAAATCGGTCATATTTAGGGTGTGAACAGAATCCTCCACGTGCAGTGCCCATGTGCAATGCACATCCACCCAACCTTCCGTGGCTGTCTTGGCTGAAGTGGAGTATGACAGACAGGTCTCCTGCCCTAAAGGAGAACGATAGGGTGGTTCAGAGCCTCCATCAGGACCCAAGCACCCCTGGTGGAGCCGACTGAAGGGTACATGAGGAAGAAGACATGGAGTGGAGGTAGAGAAATGAAACAAGAGAGATGCAAGGGAGGTGGAAAGAGGCAGGGGGCGTGGCCCAGGTCACAAGCACACTGCATCTCCAGTCCATCAGAGAAGGCATGTGGCCACCTGCCCAGAGGAGTTCGTTATCTTCCTTGATTTCATACTTCTAAAATAAAAAGCCACTATGGGCTGAGGGGACAGGGAGAGATGAATGGCAGATCCGGGTGCTGAGAGGTTTCCTCTAGTCTGTGCTCCCCATGTGGTCCTGGCCACAGGACTACAAGGGACCCTAGCCTGCCTGAAAGTGCTCCCTGCTGGCTGGCCAGGGGTCCAGGAACCAGGCAGGCCATGCAGAGGCTCTCAGACCAAATCCCAGGCTCCTGGGGCCAGTCCACAGTCCCCTGTGAGGCTCCTGCACACTTGTCCCACGTTCTTGGGGTCAAGGGAAGAAGCAGCATGGAATGGAGTCCTTTGTTTGCTTCTGGAGCCGAAGGACGGTTGCTGGTGGAGGTGGCCGGGCACGCGGGATGAGGGAAGCACCATTGGCCGTCCGAATCAGGCATCGAGACAGACGGACGAGGGGAACAACATTATCACTCCAAGGACCCCATGGGGGCGATACAGCAAATACCATATTAAATAACCCTGCGGGTAGAACAGACAGACACAGGGTCAGAGATGGCTCAGGGGCTCCCTTGGCTCCTAGGACCCCACACCAAGAAAAGGAACTGGTACCCCTGCTTTCATGCTTCTAACAGATCCCAGGGCTGGGATGGGAGACTCATGGGAGCTGGAGTGGTAGGACAGACATCCTCTTTGAGAGGCTGAGAGTCAGTTAGGCAGAATGACTGGGTTGAAGGGAGCAAATGTCCCGGCTGGCCCTCACCCCAAATCTAAGCCACAGCCATGGAGCCTTGGCTTTCCGGCCAGGTCCTCACCTGCCCACACGCTTGCCGATGCCCCTAAGCCCCGAGGGTCTCCTTCAGTGCCTCCTTGTCGTGTGTGTGCTTAAATTTTCGATGCTTCCCTTTGAGGGGCCGGCGGACTCGCACCGTCCGAACAGTCACCCGAGTTTGAGGCGTCTTGGCTGCTCAGAAAGAAGAAGTGTTTGTCAGCATGGGATGGTCATGGGGTATTCCTCTTGTACCCCAACACCTGTTGTGAGCCTTAGGGCTGGCTCAAGAAGAGGGTGGGGAAGGTCAGGTCAGACTTTATGAGGTCAAAGCCAAGCCCCCCTGCTCATCAGCTGTGTCTTCTGGGGACATGACTGAACCTTTCTATGCCTCAGTTTCTCTATAGCTGGGAGTGAGGCAAGAGGATGGCCACCTCATGGGAAAGGGGAGTGGACTACACGGCAGTATGCTGGCCAAGCAATGCCTGATCCAGGAGGTTAGGTTTCAGTGTGGTCCCCAAGTCCCGTCACTACCCAGAGATGGAGGGATTTACTTTCCCACTTCCTGCAGGTGGCTGGCCCCGGGTCCCTCAAACCCAACAGGAGGTCCTGCTGGTACCGTGGACCCATCAGGCACCTGTCTTCAGAGGATGGGCACAACCCACTTTTTTACTTTGGTCACCCTGTCTCATCGTATGAAAAATCTGGCTAAGAGGTCGCTTGGGGACTGATTCTCTTGCACCACAGGTATGGCTGTCCCCTCCAGCCACAAGATCAAGCAAGCTACCCAAGGAGCCTAGTTCCTTCCTACACAGAACTGCCAGGCCAGGTTCAGCCACAGTACAGCAAGAGTGGCAGCCCCTCCCCACTGGGACCCTCTTACTTCCCATCTCCCGGGCTAGTGCTCCTACTGAGACCTCTGCCACCAACCTCTGGTTCCTCGAGCCACAAGGTGAGGAGGAAGCCTCTGGGTTTCAAGTCAGAAACAGACTTTCTTTGGAGCTGGGCCTGCCACTCAAATCCCTGGGCACTCTGAGAAGCAGAATGGAGGGCTGGGCCACATCTTGGAAGGTGGTTAGCTCTGGGCCTAACCTGGACTCTTCCAGGGACTATGTACCATGGGGCAGGTCACTTAACCACTCCGTGCCCCTGTCTTTAAAGGACCTGTGACCTCCTAGAGCTGAGCAAGTGCGTCAAAAGAGCCAGAACCCCAGTAACACCTGCTCTGCACCCAATTCCACTACAAGTGCCTTTATTTTCACAGTGGGCATTATTCGTTCTACAGTGTTGGGGAAACTGAGGCAGAGAGCTGTGTTTGAAGCCCTGGGATCTATCTGTGCTTCACACTTCCAACACTTGCTTGAACTGACAGTTCCTGGAGCCCTGGTCCAGTCTGACTCTCAACTACTCTTCCTTCTGGTCTCTGGGAAGCCATGCAAGAGGCCAGCACTTCCTGGGAGTCACTGGAGAGTCCCTGGCCTTCGGCTAGTGAGACAGTCTCGCCAAGCTTTCCCTGCAGTGTAGAGATCTAGGGGAGCTCAGATTATCTGGTAGGACGACACCTAGGAGGGCCAGGGATAAGCCCCCCAGGGAGCTTCTATCCCAAAGGCCAGGCCATGCACAGGAGGCTCGGCTGGCCCAAGCCTGAGTCCATTCATGTAACTCACAAATGACAGATGTTTGAGCCAGCTCTGCCCTGTGCTGTACCAGAGATGAACCTGGAAGAGTTCCTCAGTATTCTGAACATTCCAGCACTAACACTTAGGAATTCTTCTAGTGCATACAGATGGTAAAGAAGGCAAGTGAAAGCCAAAGAGCTGCCAGGGGCAGGGGAGAGCCATGAAGGGACTCTCAGGACACCAATGGCCTAGGATGGGCTGTGTGACCTGGAGCAAGGCCCCAGCATCTTTGGACCTCAGGTACCTCCACGACGAAGAGCCTCTGAGACTTTTTCAACTCATATCTGTCTGACACTTGTGGAAACAAAGACATGAACCCATCTGATGAATGCTCGATCACCAGACTAAGTTGTCACACCCAGCTATATAGATGCCCAGCCTTTACTTGTATATCTCCACGATAACAGAAGTGAAGAGGACTGGTTGGGTTGGTAGCAAGGGCAGGGGCTGTAACCTCATTTAGGCTGAGAAAAATCTAGATTGTTCTCAGTGAGATCAAAAGTATCAAATAAATTTAATCGTAGATGTTATCTATCTGATCTCTATTAATAATTTGTGTGTGTGTGGTATATGCATTGTATGGGTTCAGCTGTGTGTACGCATGAGCGTGTGTGTGTATGTGTCTGTATACACATAGGTACACATATGAAGTCAGAGGTTGACATCAAGTGTCCTCAATTGCTCTTCACCGTATTTTCTGAGGCAGGGTCTCTCACTGAACTTGGAGGTCACCAACAGTGAGGCTAGCATCTGATGATGCCCTGGAATCCACCCACCTCCACTTTCCCAGTGTGGGATGACACAGCTACCATGCCCTACCAGCCTAACCAGGGACTTAAACTTTGGTATTCATGCTTGCTCGGCAGCAATTGGGATCCAGCCTCCTGAGCCCTATTTGAACACCCACCCTTTTCCCAGCTGTGACAAGGGAAAGAGGCTGTGGGCTGAGCCCTACAGAGCAGCCCCTAGGAAGGTGGCTTACCTCGCTGCTCCCGGGATGTCCCAGGGCTCCGAGTCACAGGCCGAGGGGTCACTATTGTCTCACACTTGCAGGCCAGGTGGTCCTCCAGGGTCACTGTGGCCTTCTTGAAGATTGGCTTCTTCCGTACAATCTCAATCTTTCTCACCTGGGGGACAGAACGGGCAAAATTCCCCTGTAGAAGCCACCTGTGCCGGAGCAGTCTCACAGACCTGGCCGTCTCTTGCGCTAGGTTTCTTTCCTCGAAAGCCAAAAGCCAGGCTTGTCTGCAGAGCGAGGGCTCTGGAGCAAACAATAGCAAGGCCTTGCCCTCTGTTCCTCGCAGAGCTTTTCCATCAAAACAAGCCCTTCGACCTAGCTAACATGGCCTCAGCTTTGCTGTAGCAACCCCGCCCCCCCCACACCCTGACCCCCCAGAGTGGGAGAAAGGCATTTCCGGGTAGAGCCTGAGTCCTGTGGGTCCTCATTCCTGAAGCAGAGCACTGGCCAAGGCCAGGGGCTGCAGCAGAGTGGTGGGGGGGGGGGGGGGGGAGGAGATGGTTATCTGGAAGGAAGTGAGAGAGGCCTTATCTAGAAGAGAGGCTGGAAGGGGGAAGGCAGCTGTCAGGTGTCTGTCCTTAAAGCTGGGGACAGGAGATATGGTGACAGTGGGTGGGGTCGCATAGCATGTCATTCATTTGTAATCTGGGGCACAGCGAAAGGCCAGGAATGGAAGATAGACAGCAGACTGGGCACAGGCCACAGGCAGACGGCAGAGAAAGAGAGCATGGTCACGTAGTCAGGGCACTGGGGAGGGCTGGCGCTAAGCTTTGTACCGCGTGCCTAGGGGAGCCTGAAAAGGGGAAGCTGACCCAGGGTACTGAGACCTGGTCTTCCAGAGTTAGAGATAGCTGAGCCTCCCTGTGCCCTGCCCTGTCCACATGAGAGCAGGAGCTTCAGAGACTGCCTCTAGTTCCCTCCTACAGACTAGCATCTGTGCCCCACCCCCCCCCCCCAAAAAAAAACCAAGGTGGCCACAGTGCTGGGCCATTTGTCAATGGGGGCCCTGGTTCCCACAGTGCTTGCTACCTGGAGGACACTCTGTGCCACCTTCGTTAAAGACAAAGCTTGCCAAAGAGACAGATGAAGTCTCAAAGTGTAGGGGGTTCCTGCGTATGATGAATCATTGAGGGAACCTGGGTAGTTGTCCTCAACATTCTTAATGTCAGATGTTTGAAGACAGGAGCTCTGTGGGGTTGTGTCCCTGTAGAGCAGGTGACACTGGTCCACCACTTAGCATTGCACACCCAGTCACATTCTGTCTGCCTCTCAGTGATGACTACGGTCTGAGCCGCCTTGGAGAGTGCATCCCGGAACACTCAGCAAAAGCCCTCCAACCCACAGCAGCTGGTCAGCCGCGGGGGCAGAGGCCGACGCGGGGCGGGGCGGGGCGGGGCGGGGCGGGGCGGGACGGGGCGGAGTCTGCGCACCTGCACTGGTCTCATCTGCACTTGCGAGGCCCGGCACTGCACGTTGCGGTTGTTGCAGCAGCCAGAGCAGCGCTGCACCTCCACGCAGGGCGGCCACACCAGGAAATTGGCGTTGGTGCGATCTATGAGGTTCCGCGAGATCTGGAACACCTCTGTGCGCGTCTTGCACTCGGCGATTACAGCGGGCTCTGCGGCTGCTAGGGAACCTGAGGGCGGGGCGACAGAAGAGGCTGTCAGGAGAGGAAGGTCTTCTTTGGAACCATCCCCCATCCAGACAGCCCTGAACTTGGCTGGACCACCCTGAGCCTCAGTTTACATCATCTGACAACAAGGACAATGATGTCTACCCCCAAGAAGCACGGTCAGGGTCAGGCCAGATCATCCCGTGTGATCTTGTAAATGTTTAGTGCACGCCTGTCCCACCATCCTGGATCCCAATTGCTCAGATTCACACAGCTGTGTGATTGGCCCACCTGAGTCCTCACCCACTGTTAGCCTGCTGGCTTCCACTGGTCTTTTGTTGTTGTTTGTTGTTTTCAAGATCAAACTACCCAGAATAGCGCTTACTGTCCTGGAGCTCACTCTGTAGACCAGGCTGGCCTCCAACTCACTGAGATCTGCCTGCCTCTGCCTCTGCCTCTGCCTCCAGAATGCTGGGATTAAAGGCATGCACCACCAGCGCCTGGCTGTACCACCCTATTCTTATGTGACTCTTTCAAAGTCTCATCTACCTCATCTGTAAAATAGGGTAGCGGCAGAGCAATGTCTCTCCCCTGAGCTGAGAGGAAGAGGGTAGGTGAAGCCTACAGCAAGTGCTCAGTCATCTCCAGAGAAAGGTTCGCCAGAGAAAGGCAGTGGGGCTCGGGGACCTGCAGGATCTGCCAGCCGCATCTCCAGTGACTTGGAAACTGTAGGTGGCTTCTCCAAGGCCTACAGATCTACTGGCTTGGTCTCCGCCAAGAAACAACCAGCAGTTCTAAGCTGGGTTTAGTGCCTCTGCACTAGGCCAGTGTAACCCTGAGCCACAGTGGACAGAGGACCCACCCAGAATACCTTGGTTCAAGTGCATCGAGTAAGGACTCGGTCCTTCCATTCCAGTTTCCCCACCCTAGTTTCTAGACCTTTGGAGTGGAGCTGACTACATCTGTTCCAGGGTTGGAGTGAGGAAGCTGCAAGTGTAAAGGCAAAGGCAGATCTCTGGGAATTCGAGGCCAGACTGGTTTACCTAGTGAGTTCCAGGCCAACCAGGGCTATGCACTAAAACCCTGTTTCAGAAACAAAAAGACCCAAGCCACTATATTTTAAAAGCACAGTATGGGACAGAGGGCATGGTAACTCAACTTCAAAGATGGCTACACTCCTCATTCAGTTCTAACAGTAGGGAAGGGATTTGGAAGGTGATTCCAATCCAGGATGGCTGTGTGCCCTGGTTTTCCTTCCCTGGATTCCACTCTTTGAAGGGCCACTATATGGACCTTTGGTTTTACCTAAGCTCCTCCTCCCTCGAGATGAGCTTTCTGGCTCGCCTCCAGAGTGTGCTCGGGTCATGTTCAGGTCCAGCTCAGCCCCATTTTCATCTGCAAGGGAAAGGAAGCATAGTCAGGCATGCTGGCCCAGGCTGCTACCACGGGACTGAGTTGAGGATAGCATCTCTACATTCTAGGACCCCGCCCTTAATGCTCTCAAAACCTGAGGTCCCTGCCCCTGAAGAGGCAACCAGGCAAACCCTTGGGCAGCTGAATGGCTCATGGGGCTGGTGGGGCCTGACTGCATCTTTGGGAGCCTCCAGCGAGTTTTTAGCCCCATTTTTGGCCAGAACCCATGTCAATGGAGTTAAAAATAACCCTTCCCCTTTGCTACTGTCAGCGAACCCTCCTCGGCCTCCAGGGTGGAGCAGGGACCCAGAGCACTGGAGGCCAGTTCCCAGTGCCCTCCAAAGCGTTCCCATAGGAAGTGCTGGTTGGAGAAATTCCCAGAATCCCCTCGGGGCTAGCAGGCCCAGTACAGCCTACTGGAGCCTTGACAATGGCCCTACTGGTCTGGAGAGAAAGGGTGGAGAGGGAAGGGGGTGGGAGGGCCTGCGCCAACCACACTAGGTCAGCTCTCTCTTCAGCTTTCATCTTTCTGGGCTTCTCTTCCTGTCACTAGCCGAAGTTCCCTTCTCTAAGCTGGAGTCCTACCAGCTCTCCTTGGTGACACCTCTACCCACACACCTTGCTGCCCCGAGACATTGGCCAGGGCTGCCTACTCTTCCTAGGATGGGAGGGTGGTGAGGAGGCTTTGAACTTGATCTTGAAGGTGGATAGCCCCTCTTGTCTCTCAATGGTGAGGAACAGCAAATGGACTGAGGGATGCTGGAGACAAGCCTCTGTACCTTATGGCATCTAGGGGACCATATATCTTCCCCAGTCTGCTGGTCCCATCAAAGGCAAAGGCTTCTGCCAGCTGCAGCCCTATCTAAGATTCCAGGGATCCCGCAGATCGCCACTGACTGATTGGTCTGCTTTGTCCAGCCCAACGTGTCAACCACGTCAGCCTGGCTGTCTGTCCCTTAGTCTCTTTTTCACTGACATCTCTGGAATGCCCCTGGTGGGGAGGAGATGGGGAGAGATGTACTTTGTGGAAAGGTTAAGTTGATTAGGAAAAAATAGCCACATGGTTGCCTCGAAACAGGCCTGCTATTGAAATCCTCACATTCAAGATCCCCGACCCCCACCAGGGGTGTGGAGGGGCTGCCCGAGCTGGGCAGCAGAGCGCCTTGGAAAGAAACACCAAGATGGCTAAATTTGGAAGTTGCCCCATTGTGTGGCCAGGGCTGGTCAGCCGGGCACGGGTGGGAGACATCGGGTGGGGGCCCTGGTGAACAATAGGGGGGCCCAGCTGGGCCCCCTCCTGCCTGCCTTGCCACCCCCAGCCCAGGCAGTATTGAAAAGGCCCGGGAATGCTTTTGAGCAGGAGCCAGGGGCCCAACAGAGAGAGGAAACAAAGGCAGGAAATGCTGTTCCCCCGTAGATAGCGTCTGGGCAAGAATTACAAAGTGACAAAGAGACAGGACCCCAGAGGGACAAGGGCCCGCGGGTGCGTGGGGGTGGGGGCTGGGGGGCTGCTGAATAGGGCTCTAGGGACCAGGCCAGAGGTCAGAATAGAATGGAATTTGCTCTGAAGACTGCATTTATAAATATATTCCCAGCCCAACCCGCCGGCCCCGCCACGTGTGTGCCACCAAGCACGTGCCCATTCGCCCAGTGCACTCTTGGGCATGGGCAGGGCTGCCAGCTGGTCTTGGCCAGGTGTCCCCAGGAGACCTTGTCGACCAGGCCCTGGGCCAGAGGGGCAGGGAGATGTCTTCTATAGCTCCACCCTCTTCACCTGGATAGGTATTTAGTACATGACCTGAGTGCTTTCTCTCTGCCCGCCCTGCTCCAGGGACCCCACCCTCTGCAACAAGTCAGAGTCACACGTGGGTGCTGCTTCTGCCACACCCCATGTCCCAGGTACCAACCCGTCAGCCTGCTCTGCCCTGCCCTGGGTAGGTGCGGCACAGCCTTCACTGGGATGTGCCATGAATCTAGTTCCCTTACATCAAGAGGGGCATCCCTGCCTGCCCCTCCCCACTCTCCCGAACACCAGTGGAGGCTGAGGTTCTGGAGGAGGATCCGATTTACCTACGGAGTCTCCATGCAGCAGGCGCTGGAGGTCATCAAAGGAGCGAATGGAGCGGTCACTCAGCATTTCATAGAGTTCCTCTGGAATGGGGTCCCCCTGTTGGGCAGACACCAGGAACTGAGTAAACGGGGGGTGAAGGCTCACCAGGCATGGCTCTCTTATCAGCCACATGCTTTCTCTTGCACAAAGTTCCTACGAGGCCCCTCTGTACCCAGCAAACAGACAGTAAGGCTGGAGTAGGTGGGATCCAAGGCTGAACCAGGAGCAGAGGCCCAAAGGCTTAAAGAGCTAAATCCAGACTGAGATGCCCCACCCCAACCCTCTACAGTATCCAGACTTGCCCCCAGCTCCAAGACTTGTCTACATCTGTCTCCCCCATCAGATCACAGGTCCTGGAGAAACTCCAACAATCTCACTTCTCAAGACCCTCCCTCCACACCTGGTAGCTAAGACACGCACGTTGTATGTGCAGGGGCCCCCAAACCCACTGTGAACAGAGGCTTCATTCAGACAATGACAGTGAAGTGCATACTCCAGTCCCCCCCCCCCCAGTCCAAGAGATGCTTAATAATGCTTGCTGAGTTGTGATGTCTCAGAAGGCTCTGTGTCCCAGTGCTACCGACTTAGTCCCTGCCAAAGAGGAAACAAGGGAATCCTCAGGCCCAACCGGGGAACCTGAGCGCTTACCCATGCATGCCCCATGCCCAACCAAACGCTATTTTTAGAGTCCCTCTGGCCTGTCACCAAACACTTGAAACTTAGTTAGAACCTTAACAGGCCTCACTACAAGCCAGCTTCCTCCAGGGAAACCACAGGTCCCACAATCACATTCATACAGCTGTAGAGAGAGGTCACCGCCGCATGGCCAGAGCTCCAGGAGCTCAAGAGCCTGGTGCCAAAGGCTACAAGAGGTGAGGGCAGAGGGAACTGGGAATTGTCCTCACAATAAGGAGCAAAGGAAAGACGCAAGATGCCATGTCTAAAAGCTGTGACCACGATGAGTGCACACGCATGCTGAGTGCACACGCATGCGGTACATACATACATGCAGGCTTGTGACAAGACCATGCAGCTTGAGAGACGCTCTAGGAGGACTAAGCCACTCTGTGCCTCAGTTTCCCTGGACTGAGCAGTGAAGAAGCCCTGCCCTGTGTTCATTGAACCATGCTGGGACCGGCGCTTTGAGTACTAAGCACAGGTGTGTGTGTGTGTACGCGCGTGCGTGTGCACGCGTACGTGTGTGTGTGTGTGTGTGTGTGTGTGTGTGTTTGAGCATGGGGGTTGCTGCTCTCTCACTGTCTAAGGTAGAAAAGAAGCTCTCGCCCCTGGCCAGCTGGGCAGCTGGGGGAATCTCCTCAAAAGCTGCATGTCTCAGACACTTGTTGAGAGCCAGGTGCATGATGCCCGGTGCCCACCTATGTCCCAAGCTACTCTGGAGACAAAGGCAAGAAGATCTCTTTTTTGTGTGCTTGCTGGTTTTGTCAACCTGACGCAAGCTAGACTTGATAGTGAAGAAGGAACCCCAATAGAGAAAAAGTCCCTATCAGACTGTGGGCAAGCCTGGGGGATGTTTTCTTGATTAGCTGACTGATTGATTGGTGTAAGAGAGCCCAGATCACTGTGGGTGGGTGGATGGTAGACTTGTGGCCTCTAAGAAAGCAGGCCGTCAAACCATGAGGAGCAAGCCAGTCAGTAGTAGCCCTCCATGGCGTCTGCTTCAGTTCCTGCTTCCAGGTTTCTGCCCTGATGGTCGGTGCTGTGGAACTGCAAGCTCCACAGATTCTCTCCTCCCCAAGTTACTTTTGGCCATGGAGTTATCATACAACCAAAAATTAAAACAGTTTGGGTTTACTTTTGTTTTTTGTTGTTTTTTTTTTTAAAAAAAGACATGGTCCTATGTTGCCCTAGCTGGCTAGCATGAAACTCAACAACAGACCAAGATAGCCTTGAACTCAATGATTCACCTGCCTCTATTAAGTGCAGAGAGATTAAAGATGTGAGCTACTATGCCTAGCAGGAAGATCTTTTGAGGCCAGGAGTTCCAGGCTAGCCTGGACAACATAAAGAGACCCAGTCTCACTTAAACCAAACCAAAACAATACAAAAAAAACACCTTGTAGTCCTTGACACTTGTGGTAATGTTTAGAAAAACATTCCTCAGGGATTCAGTCATACCCACCTCTGGTCCCCCATGTCAACCTAGGAAGTAGAGGATACAATCTGGGGACTAGGGGAGGGGCATAACTCCTTGAAATCTGGCTCCTGGGACCCCATTTGGCATCTGGGTCACTTTGTTCAATCATGGAGTTTATAAACCTGCTTGGTATCCTGGGAATGTCAGAAGTTTGAAGGAGAAGCTGGGGTGAGGGCAGGGGCTTGGTGTCCTATAGTGTCCACAGTTTCACAGTTGGGCCAAGACGTGCAGGACAGATGGTTCAAAGCTGGTTTAGAGAAGGCCACTGCCCCAGGTTCTGTCAAACTCAGAACTGGCATTCAAAAGACTTGGATTCCTTCCACACCCTGCCACCCTCTGCAATGTGACCCCCAGCTGGCCACTGCCTCTCTCTGGTTTGGGCTCTTATCTATGAACTGAGGATGTTAGAAGACCTTGGATTGCATTCTAATTCTGGCTGGGGGTAGCCGATGGAGCAGACGTTAGCCGGAGCCAGAATGTGTAAGGTGGTTTGCTTGCCCAAGAGAATGAGAAGCAAATGGTGGCTCAATCAGCCCTGGGGGCTACTTCTGCCAGGATCTCCTTGTCCATTCAAGGGCTGGCTGGAGCTGCCAGTGAGGCAAAGCAAGCTGAGCCCTGAACAGACCAAGTGGACACCTCAGTCTTCAGTCCCCAAGCAAAGGAGTCCATCACATGGAGATAGACTCGCCCCTGAACCCCAGATGGAAGCCGTGGAGGTGCAAAAGCACTCAGCTCAGTAAACACTGGTATCCATCCCTTTCTCTCCAGAGCTCCTCTCAGGTGTGGTCCTTCAAGCCAGACACGGACTAAACAAAATGCTGCACGAAATGCAGTCCTGAGGCCAGCATTATCATTAGTCCCATATTCCAGATGGGAGAACTGAGGCTGAGAGAAATTAATCCACAGTCACAAGTCTAGATGACTAGTTAGTGGCAGAGGTGGGTCCCTCACGGGCCATAGCATGCCTACCTGCTCCTGGCCCATCAGGAAAGGTTCAAACATGCTTCCCTTCTCTTCTGATGATGCCACTGGACCCAGCATCATTTGAGATTCCTGCTGTTTCCCTTGTCCCTATCTCTCTCTCCTTTTTGGTTTTTCAAGACAGCCCTGGCTGTTCTGGAACTCACTTTGTAGACCAAGCTGGTCTCGAGCTCATTGAAATCCGTCTGCCTCTACTTCCCGAGTGCTGAGATTAAAGTCATGCTCTTCTAATAGCAATGGTCTCAATTACACATTGACATCATCTGAACACATTTTTGGTGGTCATGACTAGAGACAGACTGCTAGCATCAGTGGGTGGAGGCAGGGATGCTATTCACTATCCCATAGTATGAAGGATCTCACAAAGGATCCAGCATCACTGGTCCCAAATACCCACAGTACCAGAGGTGAGAAACCCACAATAGAGGAAAGTCAGGGCTCCCCGAATAAAGGGAACCACAGTGCTCTGAATAAGTCATCAAAACCTTACTTTCTGCTGGACATAACAGCACAGGCCTATAATCCCAGCTGCTTAGAAGACTGAAGACAGGATTGCAAGTTCAAGGCTACTCTGGGCTAAAGGATAAATTCAAAGTCAGCCTGGGCTATGAAACAAATTCAAAGGCCATCCTGGGACACTTAGCAATACCCTGTCACAGAATAAAAGCAAAGGAAGGGCTTTGAGTGTGCCCAGTGGCAGAACAATTTCCTAGCATTAGTGAGGTCCTGGGTTCAGTCTGGGGAAGACTGACAAAGAAACAAACTGTATCTTTCTCCCTTAAGTGGAGTTAACCACAACTGGCCCTGAAATCCGTGGTAAGTGTAACTGTACAGAGCAGAGCAGCCCCAAATTAAGGTCATTTAACGAGACGTTATTGCTTTGATGAAGAATGAGCCAATTCTTTCATATGGCTCCGAGAGCAGCATGACACTCATGTGCCGGGCCAGACAATCACAATACTTTCGAGGATGGTGACAGGTGGGTGGAGAGCTGCCGTGCCCTGGACAGAGTGTGACTTTGTCCTATCCCCCTCGCTGGGCAACAGGAAATGGAACCTAGCTCCACACTGACACTATCAGGTGCCCTGTGGGCTGGTGGGTCTCTTCTGGGACCAGAGGTGTGAAAGGTTAGCCTGAGGTCCACTCCAGGATGCAGTACTCTGGGGAGAGTCTCAGGGGCATGTGTTTGCTGTCAGAGTCTGTGTGTCTGTGTTCTGCCACAGGTTCTGGAAGCCTCTAGGTGGGCACCCACAGATTTCTCCCATACATGGTAAAGGATACCTGACAGCTTGAAGTAGCTGCCCCAGGTCTCAGGCCTGGGGCTCCTGGTAGGACAAGGGTGTGGTGTGGAAGCAGTTGGGGCTAAGCCAGCCTGGCAGTCAAGAGAAACAGCCTCCTCCCTGCCCCGCCCCCAAAGCCAGCTGCACGAGGCACGAGCAAGCATGAGGCCAGGTGAGTTACCTGCTCCCAGCCAGGCTGGCAGATCAAAAGGGCTTGTACCCCACCCTCCACCTGGGCCCCAGCACAGCACACACACAGACACACACAGACAGACATACACTCCAGTCTGCTGCCACTGCAGTGAGGGAGATGGGCTCTCTGCCCAGCACCCAGGGCGTTGTCTGTGGCTGGCAGAGGCAGAAGCTGACGAGGCCTCCTAGGGCCTGCCTGCTTGCCTGCTTGCGTCTCATGCCGTATTTAGACGAGATGGCAAAGAAGAGCTCTTTGAAGAAGCCTGGGCACAATATAGATGCCTTTTGGAGCCAGATTTTCTACCCAGCAGTTTCCTTCCTGGTTCCTGGGATTACCCTCTCTCACCTTGCCCCCCACCCCCTGTTCCTGCAACCCAACCCAGTCCACCAGCCTCCCCTACCTCTGCTAGAACAAGAGAAAAAGAAAATGTCAAAGTTGGAAGAAAAGG